CTCCCCTTGCCTCTCCAGGATATTGACTGGGTGCAGACAGAGAAGCATGTGTTTGAGCAGGCGTCTACCAATCCGTTCCTAGTAGGCCTCCACTCCTGTTTCCAGACAGAAAGTCGGTAAGGCTGACACCATGTGAGAGCTCATGTTCTATTTAAAGCCAATATAAACTGCTCAAAAAATTAAGGGAACACTAAATCACACATCGGATCCTGATGAATGAATTATTCAAGTTGAAAACCTTTACTAATGTAGATTGTAGATACTGGTCCTGCTGCTGGGTTGTTGCCCTTCTACGGCCCTGCCCAGGTCTCCTGGTGTGATCAGAGACACAGCAAACCTTGCAGCTGCACATATAGATGTGCCATCTTCAAGTAATTGGACTATCTGTGCAACCTGACTGGGCTGCAGGTACTGCCTCCTGCCACCAGTAGTGACCAATACACTAGCAAAACCTAAAATCTGAGAAGAATCCGTCAGGCAGGATCAGGAGAGAGTATTTGTCTGTGGCCACCATATGCAAAGCCATGCCCTTTTTGGGTGGCTGTCTTGCTTTTGCCTCTCCATTGCACCTGTTGTCACTTTCATTTGCACCAAAGCAGGTAAAACTGATTCACAATCATTTGTGCTTCCTAAATGGACAGATTGATGTCCCAGAATAGTTTAACTGACCTGGTGCTATGCTGTGATGATTAAGCGTTCCCTTTTTTTAAGCAGTGTATTTCAGTTACAGCTCACAGTACCTAACAGTACTTTTTAGTCATGAAATATTACTTTCTGATGAGAATCTGTTCTTCATTAAAGTATGGTGTAAGTTGATCATTTTGTAATTGTCAACAAATCTACTGAAATTCCCTACAAACAAAGTTCTTCAGACACATTACTGTATATTAGGATAATGTGTAAGGTCATGGTTTGTGCAGATTTTTATCGTTGTCCTGATGCTTTTTTGATCCTTTGGCAATGAAGAGAACAGGTGTGCTCAATCTGATGTCATCATTTTTAGTTTTGAGAATCCTTTTGGTCCAACATTTTCCCTGATGATGGTCTAGTGACAGAAAATACCTGCACTGGAAGTGTGCAGGGTTCTTTTTTTTTTTTTTTTTTTGCCCATGTTAGATGTTTTTGGCTATTTGAACCTTAGTGGTGTGTCGTGATTGCTGTCATCTTTTGAAAACTACATCCAAGGTTAGATTAGATTGAAAATGCACTTCAGGTGCTTCAGAAATAAAAGAACTGGCCTTTTTCATTGGCACCTATGAGTAAATGCAACAGAATGGCTTTTTTCATGTGTATTTAATATATTTTTCAATGTCACTGGAATGCTTTTCCCATCATGCTCTGGTTTCCAGGTTATTTCTGGTGATTGAATATGTGAATGGCGGGGACTTGATGTTTCATATGCAACGGCAAAGGAAGCTCCCTGAAGAACATGCAAGGTAAACATCCAGGTGTTACAACATTAAAAATAATTTAAAGTTACTTAGCTACAGTACATACAGTGAGGAACAGAAGTATTTGAACACCCTGCGATTTTGCAAGTTCTCCCACTTAGAAATCATGGAGGGGTCTGAAATTCACATTGTAGGTACATTCCCACTCTGAGAGACAGAATTAAAAATTTTCAGGAAATCACACTGTATGATTTTTAAAGAATTTATTTCTCTTGCACTGCTGAACATAAGTATTTGAACACCTGAGAAAATCAGTGTTAATATTTGGTACAGAAACCTTTGTTTGCAATTACAGAGGTCAAACGTTTCCTGTAGTTCTTGACCAGGTTTGCACACACTGCAACAGGGATTTTGGCCCACTCCTCCACACAGATCTCCTCTAGATCTGTCAGGTTTCGGGGCTGTCGCTGAGCAACGCGGAGTTTAAGCTCCCTCCAAAGATGTTCTATTGGATTGAG